GAAGAAGCCCCCAAGCCCTTTGGGCAACCAGAAGGTCTCTGAGGCTGGCGTGCTCTTGAGGACTGCATGTCCTGGAAGGTGGCCCGAATGAAGTGCTTGGCTGCCTTCTGGGACCTGCCCCTGGTCCCCATTTCCCTAAGATCCAGACCTTTTCCAGAAGCTGGGAAGAAAAGCCCAATCTTGGCCTTGTGCTCCTTCTGTCATGGGTGTCAGGAAGGAGGTAGGAGTGTCTCCTCCTCCTCCTCCTCCTCCTCCTCTTCCAAGGAGCAGGCTGGGGTCTCAAGCAGAAGGACCAGGCTGGTTCAGTGTCTCCCTCCCTCCCTCCCATTGGAACACAAGGGCAGGATGGGACCCAACAACCCTTCTGGCCACCTGCAGTCAAGCTGATGTCCAAATGGACAACCCAGAAGCAGAAGAAACTGGCTGTGCCCCCGCCTAATGCACACACACCCGGAACTCCTATTGGGAGAGGCCTCCGAGAGGAGAGGGTGTCGCTCACCCTCTCGAAGCCTCCCAGGCCATGGATTTGACTACTTCCTGCTTGAAAGGTGCCCAGGTGGGCTGCCTGCTGGCCTTCTTGCACCCTGGCCAGTTCCACCCCTGCGGTCAAGGAGTGCTGGGTGAAGATTCCAAAGCCACCTCCCATTGGGCAGCTTCACTTGAGGGATGCTCTCTCGCTTCCTCCCCCCCGCCCCCCGCCGGCCACAGCCCTTGAGTTCTGGATGTTGGAAAGAAGGAAACGTTTCCTTCTCTGGACGGCTCTGCCCCCTCGCTTTCCTTGGCCAAAGGATGGGAGGGGCGCACCAGCTGGACAGGCTGGGACCGGCTGCATTTTTGGAGCAGTTTCTCTGTGGGAAATTGGTGTCAATTGGCCTGTGCCGACGCTTTTCTTGGCATCAGGGAAGAGCAGGACCTGGAGGGAATGAGGGCGGCCTCCAACAACTCCAAGGGCAAGGCATGCTGGGGGGGGGGTCGCTTCCCACCCTCCACCCCCACCGCAGTCCTTGCAAGGCAGGACAGGGGGTAGATCCAGGGTGCTTGCCTTCCTGTGAAGGAAAACGAGAGGGCTCTCCTCTCCCCACTCCCCAAAGGAAGAGGGGAACCCCTTCTCCAGAGGGGCTCACCCCTCCCCTCCCCCTCCAGCCCCTGTGCCAGGTCAGGCTGGCTGGGTCTTCTCTGGCTGCCCCCCCCCCCGTGGCCAGCCTTGTGGCCAGCCTCAAGGAAGGCAGCAAGGGTGGGTGGTTTCCAGCAAGCCCTAGGGGCCTGGGAAAGGCCACTCCAGGATGCCTGGGGTGGGGGTGGGGACTGCCTCTCTAAGCGTGAGGGGGGAAGGAAGGAAAACGACCCCCCGCTGGGGAGGTGTGTAGGGCAATGAAACTCCCCCCTCCAAATATATATATTATGGGGCTGCAGAGCCAGGGAAGATGACCCACCCACCTCTCTGAGCACTGCGCGTCTGCTGGTGCTGGGCGTTAGCTGGAAGGGTTAGGTCAGCTCCCCCTTCTGCCGCCGCCCCCCCCCGGTCTCCAACCCCATGCCTCCCCAGCCAGGCCTGGTTTCCAAGGCAGGAGGGGCTCTTAGAGGACGTGCAACCCAGCCCCCTCCATGCTGGATGCAGGAGAGAGCCACAGGCTAGCCTCACAGAGGGAGGCCCTGCCTCTCCTTCAGAAAGTTCCCCCCCCAATATCTCTTGAGGTGGGCGGGACCCCCACTCTGCTGCCAGGCAGCTCCTGTCATCAGGACTGGCCTCCTCAGCTTGCCAAGGGCAGCCAGGGGTAGGTAGGGGTGTGTCTTCACTGACACAACTCTCTCTTCCTCTCTCCTCTGCCCCCACCCTGTCATAGAATATCATGGAATAATGAAAGGGGGGGGCTCATAAGGCCACCCAGTCCACCCCCCCCTTGCTCAACGCCAAGCAGATCGGACAGAGGGAGCTGGTCCGATCTTCTCTTGAATGCCAGCCGAAGGACTACTGTACATAGTTTCTCTCCAGACACACCCGCTCACTCACTCGCTGGGCACACTGAAACCGAAGCCTCCCACGTGGAAAACGGGGGCCCCACCCTTGAGCCGAAGCCCTCCCCCAGCACGGCACCTGCTTATCTCCTGGTGGCCTGGATCCTGCTCCCTTTTAGGAATGATGTTCATAGTCCTTCCATACCTACAGCAACAGCTTGAGGGGTGGGGGCGGGGGGCTGGTGGGAAGGAGCCCCCCCCAATGCACAGAGGTCCAAAACAGAGCCACCTGGGCTTTAGCAGAAGCCGCCCGACCTCCCCCGACAAGGGCCTTGGCTTCCCTGGCGTGGCCGGAGAGGGAGACATGGGGGGCCAGAACTGCCCCAGTTGAGGCTCTTCCCTCTCGCCCCCCCCACACACCCAGTGCTCTTGCTCAAGAGGAGAGGAGAGGGCGGCCGCTCCGTGGGCGCAGACCCTGGCCAGGCTCCTGCCCCTGCCATCTCAGAGGCCACCTCGCAGGACCGGGCGGGTGGGCCCCCCCCACAAATGATTCATGGCGCTTGGTCCCCGCTGAAGCCTCCTCGGCTCCTCTGTCTTTCAGGTCAGGTGACTTCCGAGCAAAACCGTCCCTCAGTCAGGGCTTGAAGCCACTTGGGGAAGCGGAGGATCCACTGGTCCTCCCCTGCGGCTGCTGCCGGTAAGCCCCAAGCCCCAGGTGCTGTGCCTTGCCCTTCTCTGGGGAGGGGGGCACGTCTGCCCCCCCACACCGGCCCTGGGGCAGGCACTGATCCCCAGCAACTCAGATAAGAACAGCCTTACCCATCACCCCCTGCCCCCACGAGAGGTGGCCGCTCAGCTCTTTCTGGTGATTCCCCAGACCGGGGGGGGGGGGGGGGAGAGGCCGCCACCCTTCCAAGCTGTTGGTTCTGCTGCCGAAGTGCTCTCTGAGCTCCAAGGGGTCTCCCCTGATGCCCACCCCATACCTGCCCTCCTGCGCTCACTTCTGTCTTGCCCTTGGGGCCACAGGGGACAATTCTGCCTCCCAGCCCAGCTTCCCTTCCAATGGATTTACTGAAGGTGCAGAGAGAGAGAGAAAAAGGCTTCTGCAGATGCCCCCCCCCCGACTGCCAGGGTGGGTGGGAATCACAACTCAGAAAGTCCATGGAAGGACAGCTGCTTCTGAGATAAGTCTGACAAGGAATTTTGTACAGCCCAGACTTAAGCACAAAGTCCAGAAGAACAACCACGGGTTGCCTGTACCCCTGCAGTCAGAAGCAGTGGGGGGGGGGTCGGGGGAGAGGCAGGAAGGTCAGATCCTGCAGGAGGGGACCAGCACGACTTTCTGACACTCCCTCCCAGGACCAGCACTGCTTCTAGGGCCGAGGGGTGGAAGGGAAGGTCCAGACTCCAGGAGCCGCACACAAGGGAAGCCCAAGGATCTAGGGTCCTCCCGTGCCCTGCAGAGGATTTTGGGGCGGGGGGGAGGCGGTGCTCCAAGAGCTGCTAGGCTCAGGCCTTTCCTGTCTCTAGAGATTTCCTTTACTAAGAAAGGAGCAGAAAAGGAGGTGGAGAAACCATACGGGGCCTGCAAATCCCCCCCTCCCCAGAAATAAGACCGCTTGGCTACACACTCCTGCCCAGGCTGGCCACCTGGCTCCCCCCTCCCCCCATGGCTTCCCTCTCTGGGTCATCCTCAAGAATATTTAGAATATTTGTATTTTTTTAATTAAAATTAATTTTTTTTTTTTTAAAAAAAAGAATATTTAGAGGCTGGAGTGGGCAATCCAGCCCTCGGGAGAGATGTGGCATCATTTTCTTTGGGGGGGGTGGGACTCGCCTGGCCATGCAAGAGATGAGGCGCAAATGGAGCAAAAGGCCCAACTTTTTTCCCCACCACCATCCTTTTTATTACTGTATCTCCAAGTGAGCACAAAACAGATCCATATTCCCTGGATGTCCTAGAAAAGAAAGGGGCCAAGACCGCCACCCTCTCTCCACGGGGGCGGGGCGGGGGGGGCCCTGTCTTCCCTGCCTGTTCAGTGAGCATCCAGGGCCACCCTTTTCCTTTTGCACAGCAAAAGATCACCTTACACGGAGACTGGAGAAGAGGGACCTTAGGGGAGTAAGAACAGCAACAACAGCAACAGCAAGAACAACATCAACCAGGGTCATCATCATAACTTAGAAAAGTGAACCCAAGGACAGAAGGGATCGCCAAATCCTCACCACAGTGCAAAAACTTCGGACAGGAACATCATGGAAGGGGGGGGGACCGGGCTGGGAGGAGGCCTTGTTTCCAAAAGGAGAGAGACGAAGGGGGTGTGTGGGGCGGGGTGGAGGAAGACACAGTCCTTCTCCCCCGGGAGGACAGGGGCCTTCTGCAACTGTAAGCCAAGCATCCTCCCCACCCCTCCCGGAAAGTCAGACGAACAGTCGGTCGGTCCTTGCCCGTGCGCGGGAGGGAGCCGAGCGCCGCGCGGGCGCCTCCTCGCCGGACCTCCTCCCAGCACTTCCTGCGGTGGCCCCGACGCCTTCCCCGGGGCACAGAGGGAGCCGGAGAGCGAGCGCCGGCGGGGAGCTGCCTCTTGGCGGGCGTGTGTCGGTGGGGCTCCCCGCGGGGATGGAAGGGACACGGGTTCCCGCCCGGCAGAGTCCGTCCGGTGGGCGCAGCGGGAGCCGCGGGGAAAGGCGTCCCATGCCGTCGCTCCGGTGGGTGGATGGGGCTCCCCGGGCGCCCCTCTCCCCGTCGGGGGTCCGAGGAAGT